TGTTGGCTCGAGTGTGATAAGGATGTATGGAAGTCGTCTTGTAGATTCTATAATAAAAGGCAAAATCATCAGATAAGAACTCCTGCCAGCAAACCTGCAATTTATGAAATGCATGATATGTATGATGTATGAAATGATTGTCCACTCTGGTTCTCCATGGTTCAACTACCGTCAATAGTAATCGAGCAACATGATGATAAGAATGACCACATGAAGAAGACATCCAAAAATAAGAGAAATTCCCACAGAACTGAACATAAGAAGGTTATGGGAGTGTGAGCAATTGGTAACAATAATGATTAGTTCGGGGGTAGGTTATTTTTCATGTCGCTTAGGCTCAAATAAAGTGCCTTAGCGACAATTTCAAAATTGTGCCTATCCGGACTTGGCGACAGGTAGGTGTTCAGCAGAGAGGATTGTCCTTCCGGAATTGGAACAATTTGGTAGTCCTAGAATGTGTAACTTGTAGCTGTAAGACTGAAATAGGGTCGAAATGACGAAAATGGTCCTCTAGATTCTTCAAAGAAGGCCAAGAACTTGAGCATAAAACTTTGAATAGTACAAATAAGTATGATTGTCTCCTTTGGTTTTCTTGAGAACATCATCGTTGCCAAATGTTACTGGCGAAAATTATGCCAATGAGGTATCCAAAGTGGACATGCATATGCAAGGTTGATAATTTCATCTTTCTGACTTTTTTTTTGTTGAGAAATAAACATGTTAGATGTAAATGCAAAATGATCATGGTATTACTACTTCCATGATACCAATATCTGATGTACTGTCTCTGCGTAGCTTGTAAGTACCAGGATCATAGGTCCAGAACATAAACCATACAATCTTATGAATAGATTCGGGACTCAGAAAATAAATCTGAGAACCTCCTAACCATTGACAGAGTTTCAGAGCATATCCAATAGAACCGATAGTCACTGTTTGAGCATAGTCATCATTTGAATATGAGTAATCATCTGAATATGAGTCACCATCTGTACCTGAGATAGAAATTCCCTCCCCACTCACGGGTGAAACTAGGTCAGGGTAAGATAATGGTAACTCGAAAATCACGGGTCCGCCTGAAAGTGCTATGGGCTTTCCCACAGACGTGGGTGCCGATAGTAATTCATTTGAACCTCATCCGAGCGTGGTATGTGACATGACTGCACTAATCGGACCACGTCCTATAGCCGTCATGTCCCCACTCTATTCCTAGGTGTCCTAGTGCACTCTGGCCTGGGTACTATGCCTTTTACCTCAGAAGTGACATCCCAACCCAATAAGAAGTAGATTTTGTACAGCAGTAGTATATGGAAGACAGTAAATACAATGCATATGTATGCTCGAGTATATACAAAATGAATGAATAAACTGAAAGCGTGAAGATAAACACCCAAAGAAAAGAAAAGAAGAGCTAGGAGCGACTCCGGGATGGACCAGCACTTGGTCGACCTATCCCCAGTGAAGTCGCCAGCTAAAACAACCGGCTGGAAATCATCAAACAATGAAGTCGCCATCAAACGTCTTTTATCCCACATGTAGGGAAAGGTAAACATCGAGAAAACCTGATGAGGGAGAAGTCACGGTCTTGCAACTGAGAGATCAGGTAAGGGAGTCTGTTACGCAAGGGGAAGGTATTATCACCCCACACGCCCGTAGTACTCTACAGTATCCACTCTTGTTGTCTATCTTATGGGTGTGTTTAATCTATGCTTACTGTCTACTATTGCTAAGGGGAAATGCATGCAAAATAAAGGGGAAAAGAATGTAGGGAAAATAAAATTATGCTCGCCTGGGCCCTACCCCAATGCCCACGTATCCCTTTTGAGGAATCAGAGCTACCGTAGTTCGGCTCACACGTTTTTGTTTGTTTTGTGTTTTTTATGGACGAAGTTAATCCCGCCTTCTGCCGCAGCTCGACCTTTGGAGACTTATGCGTTGGCACAGAAGTAAATTAATCGTGTCCTTACCTGAAAAGGGTTTTTTTTTAATGAAATGGTGCTCGAGCGCACAATAAATTTGAATTGGTTTTTTTTGTATTTTGTTATAGATGTTTTTGTATGGACGAAGTTAATTCCGCCTTCTGCCGCATCTCAATGTTTGGAGACTTATGCGTTGGTACAGAAGTAAATTAATCGTGTCCTTATCTGAAAAGGGTTTTTTAATGAAATGGTGCTCGAGCGCACAATAGATTTGAATTTGTTTTGTATTTTTGTTGTAGATGATGACTGATTGACCTCAAGAGAGAGATATTAGCCATTTTTCTACTTAGTCATGAAAGGAGTCTTTGAGAATTGAACCACACCTATGCTTGAGATGAAGAACAATAAGATCGAGAAGAGACCCGCTTATCATTTCTCGTACTAAGCAAAAGCATGATTCTCATCAGTAGTTTTGAAGTGTTTCGAATTTTGAAAAGAAAAAAAAGAAGTTTTAGTTTTAGATGCGTATGCAAAAGGGAAAGAAAAGTCAGAAGGAGACTAGCTTACTTCTAAACCTAATGTTATTGTGTGAATTTGAAAGCCTAATGTCTAATTTTAGTTCAATTAAATCGAAGATTAAATTTGAACCAAAATCTCCTAAGGAATCATGAAATAATGTACGAACAAGTAAAATTAGGCAGCAAGTATCAACATATCGCATACAATCCATACCAAAAATTGCAAACGAAACACATGGCATAAAAATGAGTAAAACTAATGACTAAAATTGAAAAGAAAAAGTGAGAGAATTGAAAAGAAATCTCTTTTATTTACCAATATTGCCAAAGAAAATAACTTGCCAAAATTAATGGCAAACGCAATCGAAATAAGTATCGAAAATAAGACCCTAGGAGGTGCAAGCTGGATTCAACGTGTGCTGCAAAAAATAGAATGACATTAGGCCCATCAAGATAAACCCAAAAGAAAATGTTTTTTATAGTAAATAAACAAAAAAACGACCAGAAAAAAAATGTTGGGCCCAGGAATCGATTGGTTTGGTCCATTCCATCACTAATTCCTCTTACAACAAAAACTCATATTTTTTGTATTATTTCAGCATATTATCATTATTAAATAAAAAATATAAAATAATAAAACAATTATATTGTTTCAGCATATTATTATTATTAAATAAAAAATATAAAATAATAAAACAATTAAATTAAATGAAAAAAAGTATATGAAATTGGAAAGGGATTTAGGGTTTGGGAAAGAAAAGTCGTTCTCTTCTTCTCCTCAGAACAACACGAACGGCGCCGACAGACACAGCCTCCCCCGCTTCTTCAGACAACTCGGCGGCGCGGCGGACTCCTCGCTTTTCTCCGTCTCACTCTCTTCTCTCCTGCGATTTCTGCTCTCAAACGTGTTTCATTTTCATCTCAATACCTCATTGTTTAAACTTCGCTTTGATCTTAATTCCTCCTCTTCACGGATCCAAATCCGAATTCGACACAGATTTGAGCCAACGGTGCAAATAACGAAGAAGAAGGAATCACTTACATGCCGAAGACGCTTTGGTGCTTCCTCGTTCGAGTCGAGATCGAATGGAAAACCAGAATATTCTTTAGGTAACTATTCTTGTGCTCTTCTTATTTTTACTGCCAATTCCTTTTCTACAGGTTCTTCTTTGTTTTCCGCCTTTTGGAATTTATGTTATCGAGAGTTTCATTGACAAGTGAAGAGTTAATGATGATGGTTGCATTTTTGCAGAGATCTTGATTGTTGATGCACATCTTGATTATTGTTAAACGTTCTCTCCAGCCAGTTGTTGTTGCGATTTTGTGTGATTCGGTGTGGTGTTTGTTGTTGTCGATTTGTGATGTTGATGAAGCTGTGAAGCAGATTGTTGAAGTGTTGTTGCAAGTTGACGCAGAGATGCAGATGATGAAGATTGAAGCAAGTTGATGCAGTAGCGGTTATACAAATTGTTGCGTGAAGATGAAGTTCAGTGGAGAATTTAAGGTGATTGCAGAGAGATGAGAGATTTTCCTGAGAAAATTTTTTATGGTGATTCTTCTGAAGTGATGAAGTAAATGAAGAGATTGTAGGTAAGAATCGGTTTTTATATTCTGTTAGATGCTGAGAAAGTTTGTTATGGTTGAATTGAATCTGAACTGTTGAATTGAATGAGTTAGTTATGGAATAGATGGTGAGATTTGAATCTAAGTTCTCTTTTTATTTTTTCTGTTATGAACTGAGCCGTTAAATTCTGTTTTTTATTGTTAGAGATTCTGTTAGTTGGTTATAGAAAACAGTTACGGGAAGTTGGTTGGGGGATCATGACTTTGGTTGGGAAGCTGAGATATGGTTTTGGATATTTGTTAGTTATGTTGTTTATGGTTTGTTAAGTTAGTTATGCTGTTTATGGTTTGTTAAGTTAGTTATGCTGTTAGAAGTGGTTAGAAGGTTTGAGAGTTTGGTTAAGAGGTGGGAAAAAAGGAAAGCTGGAATTGGTTAATTTCGGTTAGGAGTTGGTTGTTAGAAGTTAGGGAAAAGTTAGAAGTTTGTTATGTTATTTTCTGTTGCAAGTCAGTTGTATTCTGCTTGAAGTTTGTTGAGTTAGTTATGGGTAGTTGGTTTATGAATTTGGTTAGGAAGCTGTTAGAATTTGTTATGTGTAGGGCTGTTTTGGAATTGATAATAACTGTTTCTTTTTGTTGTGTAAATGTTCAGGATTGCTTTGGAAAAAAAGGCATAGACCATGGCAAGTTACAATACGCCGGTTTGGTCATGAAGAAGGTAATGAAGATGGAAGCAACAAGGTTGCATTTCAAACACGACGAGGCCACACAAAAAGCGATGATGAGAATCAATATATGCACTTTTAATTGTATTTCTTGTTTTTTTGTGTTCTTGCATTCTTTTAAAAAGTAAAAGCTGGTCTTTATCGAAACTTTCTTTTGATTGTTGTACATAATCCAAAACCTCAATAATGAAAGGTTCCATCTGTTGTAGTAGGTGATTTCCCTGTTGAAAGTATCGAAGATGGGCGTCCATAATTCCAGTGACAACCTCCACAAACTAAAATCTCTTCTTGACCTCAATGTTATTAAGAGCACCAACCAGACTGAATCGTGCTTCCTCAAACGACGTTCTTGCAATCTTCAGTTCCTCTTCTACGACAGTGGCAATATCAATCTTAGTGCTTTTTCTCAATGACATAAACTTTTCACGTGCCTGGTCATATATAAGGGCAACTTTGTCAAAACGCTTACGAGCTTCCTTAACTGCATTGATGTCAACATTGACAATTTGTAGTAACCGGCCATCAATCACGTGTTCTACCCGCGACCGAAGAAGTTCCTTGAATGTACTGATTTCCCTCAAAGCAATGGTAAATTTGTTCATTACAGGTCCTCCCAAAGCAACGAAATGGGGATCATTATGTCCTCCTCCAAAATTTTCAAGGGAGCTCACAAATGCGATGTCCCCATCATATGCCTCTCCAAGTCCTTCCGTATACTTTCTACATCCTTTGTAGAACTTTACGCTTCTGAGGCGCAATGATTCTGCACTTTCCTCCAAGCATTGAAGCTGATGACGGAACATTGGAGTATCATCGAGATTCTTGAAATGCATTTTGGAATTGAATGAAAAAAATCAAAATTGTTCTTGTTGGTGGATTTTGTTTAGCAGAGAAAGGTATCGCTAATGGTTGATTCAAGAAAACGAAGCATATGAGAGAGAGAGAGAGAGAGAGAGAGAGAGAGAGAGAGAGAGAGAGAGAGAGAGAGAGAGAGTATTTTGAATATTTGGAGTTGGAATGTATGTTGACTTTATTTCCACATAATGAAATGGCCTTTGTATGAATTCAAATAAATGGTATGAATCCAAAATATTTGCAAGGTAACCAAAAGAGACATGACTCTCGAATGAATCCAAGAGAAGCTATTTGGATAATATTTTGATGGTTGGATGAACTTGATACATGCTTTTTCATACTTGTGGTTTGAATTCCAAGAAAAGCCATGCAAATATTTAAGAACTTTGATTTTCTCCAAATCCACTTCAAATATTGATGAATGAATTCTAATCAAACCACCGCTTCAGTGAATCCCTAATTCAATTCACTTTTCCGATCTAAACCAAATTTGCGTGTCAAGCAATAAGCATTTGAAGTAATGACATCTTGATCACAATCAACATCTTGTACCATGTCCCGACTATATGAGCACTAGAATAACGACGTCTTGGACCCCTTCTCAATAGATGATAATGACTATCCCCTGAGGAATTCTTTGCAGATGAATATGAAAGATGAGACACGCGAATACCTTGATATGGAATGAACCTCAGGTAGAATGCTGACAAGCTCAAATATGAAAATGTATAAACCCTGATCTTTAGCTTCGTCTCATAAAACCTTGCAACTTGACATTGAGAAGAAAAGAATAACATCGTAGCCTGATGATGATAAGGTCCATGAAATGAAAACCTAGCTTCAAACAGATTATTAATGGAGAAATCAACCGAAACAAGCTTGTGCGAAGATGGGAGCCTTAAAGCCATACACCAACCCTTATTCCTCGAAATCCATGATCTTATGCCAATTTATCAATTAATGATGCATGATGTGTTAGATGACCTAATGTGAAAAAAATGCGTAAGCCAGATAGGAAGGGTAGGATAAATTTGGGGTATTACAGCATGAATGACATTTTGGCATTTTTTTAGTGACAGTGTGTGAAAAGAGAAACATTGCCATTTAAATAAAGAAAAAATGGAGCAAACTTTTGAATGCAAAAACGTCCTTTATTTAATGATAAACTTTTTGAAAATAAACATGGTGGCCCTACATAGATGATCCACTACGCCTTGGGAAGAGCGTAGGAATTATGATATGATAATAAAAGAAAACAAGAAAATTACTCCTCAGCGCTTGAAACTTGGATAACGTCCACAGAAGTCCAATTGTTGAGTGTCTGGCCTGGAATACTTGGACGAATCCAATCTTCAATATTGTATCCATCAACCCTATCGTCGCCAACTGCATTGACGTGTCCTTCTTGAGTAGCACAAGGACGGGAAAACTTCACAGGAGTAGATAAACTAGATACTCTGGGAGTTGCACTCTGCTGACTTGGGCTAAAACCAAGACCAAATTTATCAAATTTTGGAGTAACTTCCAGCACCTGACCCCAACCTTCAGGGTTACCATTTTCCACCACAGCTCTCGCATACTTGAGAGAAGACATAACAGTTTCAGGTTTCCTTTTCTGCTCTGGAGGAGGAAAATTGACAGCATGAACTGTCTCAAACGCCTGAAACGGAGTCTCATGTATCTCGCCTTTAACTTCAACATAGCGGAATGATGTCAAATGACTCACGATGTACTCTTCCTCGCCGCACATAGTTATCACCTTTCCCTCTGCCGGATACTTGAGTTTCTGATGAAGAGTAGAAGTGACTGCCCCTGCTCTATGAATCCACGGCCACCCCAACAAACAACAATATGCTGGCTGTATATCCATCATAAAAAAGGTTGCTATGAAGGTGAGAGGACAGCCCTTGATTGGTAACTCCACCTCCCAAACACTGACCTTCGAGACCCATCGAATGCCTTCACCATCAAATCACTAGGGTGCAGCTCCAGTCCAGAATAATCAATTTTCATCAATGCTGACTTGGGCAATACATTCAAAGAAGATCCAGTATCCACCAAAACTCAGGATAAAGTAGTGTCCCTGCACTCCATTGAAATATGCAACACTTTGTTATGGTCTTGCCCTTCCGGAGGAAGATCAAATTCTGTGAAGCCCAGACCATTCCCGGCAGATATGTTAGCACAAACATTCTCAAACTGATTGACTGTTATCTCATGTGGCACGAACGCATTCTTTAACAACTTCATCAGAGCATTTCTGTGAGGCTTAGATGATCAATTATGCTATAATCACTCTTTCTGATAATTCGCATTAACTCTTCAACCTCATCGGGAACTGAAGAAGCTTCTGGTATCGGAATTGGTTGAGTCACATTGGCTGGCGTAACCCTTGGATTACCAATCATCGCCTGTTGTTTTCCTTTTTCTCTTGCAGAAGCATCTGCCGTATCTTGCACATTGGAAGGACCAAATACTCTCCCGCTTCTGGTCATTCGACCCACACCAGAAAAATGATGAACTTCCTCTTTATTACCTTCAACATGTTCTTCCTCAGACGAACGGGTACTTACCTCCTGCTTCACCCCATGGTAATAAACATCAGCACCATAATGCCATGGGATGGCCTTCTTACTGGTATACGGCATGGGACCAGGTACCGTAATCATCAAAGGAGGTTCCCTAGATGGGGTAGGAATGAGCACAGGGGTGTAAGGAATAGATACCACAACAATATCTTCTTTGGTAACCTTACGGTAGCTCGGTTTTCTATCGAACTGCAGGGAACCCTCCTTTATCATCAACTGGATACCGGCTTTTAAATCATCACAGCCCTTCGGTTGCTCTCTACACTTGGCACACTCTGAAGTACAACCCGGGAAAATAGAATTATCAAGAAAATACCTCTTAACATACCACAATGAAGTAGTTACTTGTTCCACATTCATGATCAAATTCAACACTTCACCATTATCATCAATCATATTAACAACACCCCCTCCATGCCTAGGCATTGGATTCTGAGTAACATTCGGACCAGCTACTAGAGTAAACTCAATTGCCTTAGCATCCAACAAGTCTTGTATTTTGCACTTCAACGCAAAGCAATTGTTAGTAGAATGACCAACTCCGCCTGAATGGAATTCACATCTTGCGTTAGCATCATAGTTAGGAGGAAGTCTTGCGGGTGGTGGTGGCATATTTCTAAAAACGATCAACTTTAAATCAAGCAAATGGTGGAGTGCTTCAGTAAGAGGTACTGGCAAGGGATCGAATTTTTTGGGCTGTCTCTGTTGTTGATTATTATACTGACGGGGAGTATCTTGCTGTCTTTGTTGTTGAGGCACTGTTTTCGGTCTCTGTTGCGGAGGAGCATTAATAAGAATAAAAACAACATTGATTTGTTGGTGCTGACAACCCTCTCTTCTTCCTCTATGAGAGTAAACCGCACTTGCGTCGCCTTCCCTTTTCTTAGGGTAAGTGTTGAATGGTTTCTTATTTCCCCCTGATGAGCCACTAGAACCTCCAATCTGAATTTTCCCCAATTTCAAACCTACCTCAATTCTTTCACCAGCCATAACCAAGTCTGCAAATCCTGCCGAAGTGCTCCCTATCATGTGCTCATAGAATGGCCCTTGCAGGGTCATAAACATATCAATGAGTTCTCTCTCCATGAGTGGAGGTTAAACCCTCGCAGACAACTCACGCCACTTCTGCGTGTATTCCTTGAAAGATTCTCTTGGTCCCTGTGACAAATTCTGTAACTGAGTGCGATTAGGCGCCATATCCACGTTGTACTGATAATGTTTGACAAAAGCCCGAGCAAGATCATTCCAGCAACGAATATGGTTTTTCTCCAACTTCATGTACCACTCCATGGATGCCCCAGATAGGCTATCCTGGAAAAAGTGAATCAAAAGCCCCTGATCCTCAGTATGCACCGACATCTTTCGGAAATAAGAAGTTGTATGAGTAACAGGACATGATGTTCCGTTGTACTTCTCAAATGTAGGAGGCTTGAACTTTGGAGGAACTTTCACCCCAGACACCAACCCGAGATCATTAGCGTCCATACCAAGGACTCCTTGCCCTTCCACTGCCTTCAAACATTCTTCCAACAACCGATACTTCCTATCCTCAACCTAAACATCCGGCTCTGAACGCCAAACAGAGAACTGATCTTCATCCTGATCAAAGTCATAATCCTGCTCCTGATAGTTCCTCACACCGCCCTGATTATCTCTTCTATTCCCAATAAGACGAGGTCCCTGAGACGGGGCAAACTGCCATACGTTGCACACAAAAGGGTTTCCGGGCATCCCATGAAAATTTCCAACAGGCTGATCTTGCACATCCCCCAATCCTACAGAAATGTCCTAATAGAGCCCTTGATTTCCAACATCCCCTGGATAGCGGCGCTGGTTGTTGACAATGGCAGCCAGTTCCTCCTGTCGACGATTCACATTGGTGATGACCTCCATGAACCGGGTCATCTGAGTAGCCATTCTGGCCCTCATTTCAGCGAGTTCAGCTTGAACTTGTTCCATCTGTCTTGGCAAATTGTTTCTGGTGGAATACCGATGAGTAGTCGTCTTGAATTCTGAATAAGAAAAGCAGAAGAATACGAATACCAACTTGAGATAACCTGTAATTTTATGAAATTCATGTTGTGCATGATATGTTTGTCATTTCCCGGTATTCAAGAGTCCTTTTATTCATCAATCACGGCGTGCAACCAAAGATCAAACATGTCTTTAGTACTCCATATGATGTCCGTGTGAGCAAGGGACATGATCCTGTAGGCCTAGCCCATGCCTTCCTCATTATTCAAAATAGATTTGGGGAGGTGAGAAATAAACCACCTCGCCAGCAATGGTGCACAACACATGAGAGTTCCCCGTTTTCGAGCAGTACGGGCATAAAGAGCATGTAGGATGTCACCTAAGAGAGTGGGCACTGGATTACGGAACATGAAGAT